GCCTCATTGTGTCCGCGTGTCAGCGTGTCAGCGGCAGCGGCAGCGGCAGCGGCCAGCGATGTAATGGGAACCTTCAATGGTCGTCAAGAAAGTGAAGAGATTATAACAACGATATAGTAACCGTCCTCCATGTAATTACAATCATATTAACACGATTGTTATATTTATTTTCAATGCAAATAAGCAAACAATCGAATATTTTCTCTTTATATTAATCGCCTTCGTATCGTGAATTATGACCGAACTAGCTATCGCCCGCGACTCCGTCCGCGCAGAAATGAAAAAAAACTTAATAAGTAGGCTATGTGTTGCTTCCCACAATGTTCTACATCTATGCCAAACTTCAGCGAGATCTATGCAGCCGTTTTGGAGATACCTTCTAACAAATTATCCTTCAATCGAAACTTTTTAATTTAAAATGTGTACTTAACCCGTGATAGGGGACATAATTTTAATAAAAATGTTATCATGACGAAAGGACGGCACTTGTATTCATGCTAGTCCCATAATATTGGTATTTGTTACTCTCCTGTTGCTACTTATGTACATAGACGCATGACGCTGGCTCTGTCGAGTTCTGCGCTCGCCATTGACACCTGCATCCGGTATTTATTGTAGTGCAATAAAATGTTATTATATTTCAAAGTAAATTGAAGTATTTATTGTAAAGCGCGAGATATAAATATTAAATAAAAGTATGCCGCTCACAGCCACATGACTGACATGACTCATACGACTGTAGAGTAAATGTATGCATGCAGTACGGTCTTCTATCAACAATACCAATAGTTTATACTTTCATTTTTGCTATTTCTCGCAGACTTTCATAATGACTTTTGTAATAATTTACATAAAAACCTGTAATTTTTATTTTCATCGGAGTATTTAATTAACTGTAGCACAAAGATTTGATTCGCCTAAAATTCCATGTTTTATTTATATGTCGACGTTATGTAGAGTTTTATAAATATTATACATATATCTAAATGTATTGAAATAAGTTTGATGTTAAAATTCGTTTTTACAATCAAAGTCTGAACACTTAACTAATAATTTAAAACTAGTAATAGCAAAACACGCTTTACGCATGTTGTCAATATCTCCAACAATTCAACGACTTTACAACAAATACTTATTATTTTATTTAGAATAAGATCTCGTGTTATATTTATTGGGATTATTAAGCTAGCTGTCAACTGGTTTTCGCAGTAAAAAAAACCTTTTGTCTTGCTGTGAAATAAAAAGAAATAAAATAGTAAACATGTGGTTTTCCTTGTGTGTTTTATGTATCGTTGGATTGTATTTTAATTTTGGAATAATTGTCGCGTCACTTCCGAGCCTCACCCCCGCCGCGGCTAACTAAAGCGCAACATAACTGCGGCGTGTTCATGCTTCAACACTACAGCCGCAGAAGAACTGATGCACTTCCAGCTCGCGCATTCTGAAATGTGCTAACTCTATGGTCATTAACTTTGGAACATTCAATATTACTATAATACTTCCAATTTCAAGCACCATTTTAGGATTATTTTGTATTATTACTTGTCACATTAGTAATTATTAAGTAGAGTTACTTTTTTTTGTACTGGCTGGTGACATTTGAGAGTTGTGACGGCGCGGCGTTGGGTTTTTCTCAAACACACGTAGGAATGTCTCAGATAATTCCAGTTGAAAGTGAGGTCTGGTTTTGCCAGACTGAACCTTGTGTGATATTTTTCTCATTATTTTTAAAATGCATAAAACAATTATATTTTTTTATTTATAGTGGCAATATTTAGATACATTTCGTATAGATGGCTACACCGTAACACACGCCTGCTCTAACACTGCCGCAAATTTACAGAACTGCTGCTTTTTATGGAATAACTTTGGATTAGATAGCCCGACCGATGCTTGCTTTAATATTCTCGTTATCTTCTTTTCCTTATCTTCACCTTCGTTCTCCTCCCGGCCGCGCTGTAGTTTACAACGAATAAGCATTTACGTAATAATTTTAGTGCATAAAAATGCAGTTGTGTAAAATCAGGTTTACGACAAATTGAAATGTAAACACGAATGAACATCAACACTTGCAATTTGCTTCTGATTGATGCTCGCACATTTTCAACTGCGTCGCACCATTTACGTTTTTTGTATATGTTTTATAATCGTTTTAAGATTATGATACTTACAGCCGCGTCTCCTTATTGAAAGTCGAGTCATTTAACTACATAATATGTTTTAAAGCAAATTATAATAAAATCAAGATAAATGACGGTAATATTGTTCAATATGTTCCCGTGTTTAGTGAAAATAAAGATAATGGACGCTAGCGACAGGTGCGGTGCGGCGGGGCGATGTGTGCGACTCTCGCTCCGACGAACAATTTTCCGGCCGCCGCTACTGCGTGTCCGGCGGAGAGGGTGGCACACACTGCAACGTACCCCTCTCTTTGTACACTATTTCGTCATTCACCACTTTGTTATTTTATTCGCTTCCATTTAAATTATTTTTTACATATTAATAGAGCCAACATTCTTCAGTCGCAATGTTTTGTTGAGTCACGTAACCACCGCCGCCTGGGAACAAACGTAACAACCATCGGAGTAAACAAAATTAATGTTTATTAAAGCATCACCCAAATTGACTACTTATAATAAACTCGTTTAAATACACTGAAGATGACATCATAATTAAATTGTAACCTTCATGTTTTTTTTTGTAGAATAATTAACAATGTTTGTTACAATTAAATTTTAGACGACAAAATTATAATTAAAGTATGATTATATAAGTTTTATAGTTTTTAATTAAGTTAAATAATCATTGTTCTCTTCTGACAACTATCCTACTGATAATAACATTTTATTTTTTATATATTTTATAAACTTATTGAAAACTTTATGAATAAAATTTTATTTTAATTATATATATATATACAATATAACAACAGTTTTGCATGACAATAAAATCAATTCTAGTATCTGCCTGTACTACTGAGTATTGTTCCGATAGCCGTGATGTTATATAATATATTTATATAGTCACATGAAAACTATAATGACATTACACAACAACAACAAAAACCTTTTTTATTTATATTAATACTAGCTGTCGCCCGCGACTCCGTCCGCGCAGAATTAATAAAAAACTTAATTAATAGCCTATGCGTTATTCCAGACTATGTTCTACATCTGTGCCAAATTTTATCCGGAGGTACCTTGTAACAAACATCCATCCGTCCATCCATATAAACTTTCGCGTTAATTCTAACACAACTAACACGTTAATTCCAAATATAAATAAAAATTATAGAAATGAAATACATAAATTCAATGTAAAACGAAAAGTTCCGTTGTTGTTGTCAGTGTGTAAGTCAAGGGCAAGGGATGTGGACCTTCGCCTGTCCACTTCCCACGCCTGGGGAATTCCAAGCGAGTCTTTTGCGTACACATCCTATGGGCGTCATTTAATAAAAATAAAAAGCATTGTAATTAAGTGTGCGTGTACCCAGTGTGCAGTGGAAATATACTTCACTTTTTATTATTTTTTATATTAAATTGGGGCAAAACAAACAAATACTATTCTGACTCATTGGGTATTTGTAAGAACATAACTATGACGCTTCTCGTCATCTTATCATTGTGTTCGTGCAATAAATTGCAAACGTTGAATAGTTCACAATTATTTACATTGCCATTGAAATTTAATGTAATTTTTATAATGATCTTGTTAAATAGGCTACATGTTTATTACATTTTTTGACCCCTTTTTTGAAAAAATAAATGAAATAATCGCTGAAACTATATTAACCGCACACAGTTAACATAACTGATTAGTACTTAGTTAAGTGCTATGTTCCGCTCCGGAATCTGTATTTGGTAGATTAGGTACTTTGCGCACAACAAGATGCATGCGAGCTGCCGGCTGGCGGCTGGCGGCTGGCGGCTGGCGGGCGATAGCTGTGTGTTGCTGGTATCATTTAGATATAACATTTATTATCATTTGGTATTGATTGAGCAGGTCCACCTTTTGTGTATGTGAGCCGCCGCGCCGCAGCGTGAGATGTGAGCGACCTCGCACTGACTCGGCTGACAAGCTGTAACACTGTTCATTGCTGATACAGACCTAGTCTCTGATCTTTTTATATATTTATAGCACGACCATGGACGATCAAGTTTAGCATACGCTTATTGTATTTTGGTCGTAAAACTTTGAAATGAAGCCGGGCGACAACTTCTACGCCAATTCGATAGTCAGAATTGAAAACTGTTCAAGTTTTTATGATTTTGAAAGGTCAAGTTATTTAAGCTAATTGTAAAACTTGTAGCAGCGCCTCGCTTATATACTCGTTTGTAAACAAAACTAAATATTAATACATAATATATTGATATTGCTCAACAAGATGTTTATATTGAGACATTTTGTTTTTCCTATGTGTGGCGAGGCGAGGTGGCGCGATGCATGCCGCTGCGCCGAGCCGCGCCGCGCCGTCGGGCAGAGTAGTCGCGTGGCGCGCAAGTAACATTCATTATCAGCTGCATCAACATACTCGGAAACATAAACAATAAGTTTGTAAAATACTTTATTTGGTTATTATAAACAAAAACATAACTCACGCCCGCAACCATAAGAGTTAAGCAGAGACCACGTTCATTATGCATACATGCACTTTGGTTTCGGGTGATCTTAATATCACACTTTTTGAGTAGTTTATTATCATTACCTTGTTAAATGAATAATATTAGCCTAGAAAAAATGTAGAAACATTCCGCGCCTCTAATCCTGCGCGGAGGTTGACAAACACAATGGCGGCCTAATTTTTTCCGATTCCGAGATCTCGCGACAAAAAGCACGCGAAGGATCATGTCACCGGAATACATTACAATAACGACATTGGATCTAGTTAATTGACATAGGAATGGCAAAGGCGGGCGGCGGCGGCGGCGCCGGCGGTGCTTTCAGTAGCTTTCAAGGTTGGCAGGAGCTGTGGCCGGCGCAGTAGAGCCCGCGCGACCGCAACACGCGCACGCGCACGCAGCCTAGTGGAGCAAGCAGTCTAGAGGTTGCAGTGAGCATACGCCGAGCACAAGCACGCGATCAACTCGAAGTCTCCTCGCAGTCGAGTAGAACGCGCCGGTTACATTTGATTTCCGCGCTATATTTTGGCGGAATTTAGGTGTTCAAGCGCTGGCTCACATTTCCGGTTATTCGGTTTAGCAATCTTTGGGTGAGTTTTTTTTTAATTAAATTATTTACATAATGCCAAAAAGAAAAGGCAACTAATACATCAATCTAGAGTCTAGACAGTTACTCGTATATCGTAGCCAAGTGTGACGCACGCTAATTACACAAAACAACCAGTTTCACGGCAAACTGCACACTGAGATATTCGCTATTATTATTGTTTGGTTCAAAACATATATAGAGGTATATAGATACAGAGTGCATACAATGAAAGCTCCTCTCTCTCCTCTCCTTTGTCTCAACCCTTGGATATTCCTGCCTTTGATTTATCTGTACTTTGAGGAGGTAGCACTAGGATTATAACTATGTATTTCTGCTACTTTATTAAATCCTTCGCGTGTGCTTCGTGAAAGAAAACCTTGATCTAACAAAGAAGTATGCCTATACTAACTAGGTTTAATAGATTACGTGTACCTTTGGCCAAATGATTGTACTCATAGTAGGTAGGTAAGTAGTACAGCTGTGAGAGCTTTGCATTACGCGGATGTGTTATTTATTATATATTACACACATATTTTACCACAATTAAGAATAGGTAATGATACTGTACAGTGCAGAATGTGGTGTTCCCGCTGTTCCTTTGCCTCGTTATCTTATAAAAAAAAATGCAAAATCACGCGGCACATAAAAGGTCTAGGAATGCTTAGTTCTTCGAGCCGGAGACAAAAGGCCCTGTTTACCCCAAGTAAAAGAACTTTTATAATAACTTCAACGAAGCATTAAACAAGCCAATTATTGTAACAATCAACTACTTTCGAAATATCATGCATCCAATTTGTTAAAATTTTGTTGGTTTTTGTATAATCGTAACCTAACGTCAGCTATCCTAGCTTACTGTAATTATAAGACCTTACTTTCGTTTTATAGTAAGTTTACGAACATCATTTATTAATTATGTCTAGCGACAGCCGGTAACGGAAAGTAGAGAAACGGATTTATGAACTAATGGTGATTCAAAAATCTACACACTTACATTAAGCAAGTTCACAAGCAAAGAATTTATAGTTGGTTTCAAGCTGACAGAGATGAACGCGCGCACTGGACAGGTCCTGTCTCTCAAAAGCCAAAGTAGTATATTTGATGACGTCTATCAACTGTTTTACAACAAAAAGTCAACTATAAATATATAAAGCAACGGACGGACGTAAATAAGTTTTTTTATTTATGTATGACATTAAGTAAGCCGGTAGCGTAGCGAATTCGCCAACAATTGGTATTTTAAATTAACAGGATCTACGCGTCAGTATAAATAACTAATTGTAATTGTATCTTGTGTTTTGAATGTCTATTAGCTTTATCTCATTATTTAGATATTTAGATAATAGTAAAGGCATTGATAGGATCGAGTTTAGCGCACCGTTGCCGTTATCTTTGATCTCGATTGTAATGTGCGGTGCGCAGGCGCACGCCGAGCACACCTGGCAGCACCGCCCGCACCGACCGCGCACCCACACCTCGTCATGTAACACATTACCGCCACCGACCATCTTACAAACGTATTGTTTTCTAAAAAAAGTAGTTATGTAAAGATATGGCTTGCGTGTAGTTTGACATGAAGGAGAAACGAATGACGAGTGATAAGAGATTGAATTATAATAAAGGTACTTAATCGGGTAAATGAAAATAATAAACGTTGAACACAGTTCATTGTATAGATATTAGTTTGTAGCGTATTGATAATGTTAGATAGCAGCAAGCAGATATCCACATCTCAAAATATTCCCTAACTCATGAAGCAGTGTATTGCGTGCAATAAAGAATTTATAATATCTTAGTTAAATGTTAATAAAGCGAGGTTTAGGTATATATATGTGTAAGAAGGTAGTCAGTGTCCGTGTTAGTTGGTTGCTGCTATTGTCTGCTGCACGACACCACATTACCAACAATAATAAGCATTATGAATATTCATCATTAAAAAAATGCAATTCTACGCAAATGCTTGTAATTAAATTCAAATAAAAATATCAATAACTGAATGCTATTTGATTAAGTACCTACAAGTATATTTGTTGTCTTACAATTAGTTATTGTTGTGTTTGAATGTTACGTGTTTCCTCATTTGTATTAAATGTAAATTCCGCTCATATTATCAACGCTCTCAGTATCAACAATTATTTTTAAGCATAATTTTTACTCCAACCGTACAGACGTAAAAGCTGCAGTGTCGATAAAAGTTTCATGAAAATCGCAGTTTATGAGTCAAAAATAACAACCACTAAGTTATTATGGTTCTGAAAGTAGAGTTCTACCAGCTTGAGCACTCAATTACTCTCTAAGAATTGTATTGTGTCATAATCGAGTATACGTTTTAAACAATCTACGAGTTCAAATGTCCGGTCGACAATTAGTGTCCGGCTGGCGGGTGTCCGGCGCGGCGGTGGCGGCGGGTGTCCGGCGCGGCGGTGGCGGCGGCTGTGAAGTTCAGGGCCGAGTGCGTTTTGTTCTCGTTGTGCCGCAGCCTGCGAGCGTTCCAGGGAAAGGCTGAGACCGGGCTCCGTCGCCGCCGGCCACTGTGTTACAAATTTGCGCTTTTATCCCTCATACTAAGATGTAGTATTGCCTACTCTGTATCTCTATATCTTATAACTTTAAGCCTTTTTTGTTTTTTCTTGTACTATTATATTTCACGATCGGGATCGGTATTGCTTTGGTTTCTTTGCGAGAAGCCGGTTCTGTAGCGGGAACCCCTGCCTTGTGTGTATGCGCATTTACAACGAAACCAAACAAACAACAAAAACGAGACACGAAGTCTTCAACACGTCCGATGTTAGACTGGAGCAGTTTTTGCAACTTGCAAAGCGTCGGCTTGTTGCCAGTCGTCATTACATGCCGCCTTTATAAATCATGAATGTGTAAAGCTTCGTTAACAAACATCATTTAGGATTGAAGCAGCCGTGCGAACACAAAACATGTGCTAATGATACCTTTACCCAATGTTACAATGTGATACACTTGATGGTTCGATCCGAACTCCAATGTCAAATACACTCAATGTTCGTTTGTGAGTACGTCATTTCATACCAACACGTTTCTGGTTGTTCCTACAACATTACAACACCGCAGTTGTAAAAAGAAACCTTGAAATAATCGCACGTACCACAGAATAACCTAATTCACTAAAAATAGACACGCGGATTAACATCGCGGACAAAGTTGCTAACATCTCCTTTAAAGTATAACAATTATAAACGAAGCATTCCATTGAAATATACAATGATCGATATATAATTGATCTATCGCCCTTTTATGTGAACGCGATAATTATATCTACGTTAAGATTTAATATGTCGTTATGATCAGACTGACAGATCTGTACCCGGGCACACGGAAGCTGCGGGGAGCGGTGTGCGGTGTGCGGGGAGCGGGGAGCGGGGGTCTGACATTGCACGAATACATACATAAACATTACGCAATTAAACGCCAAATACATTCACACTACAACAATAAAGTTGTGTGTACACTGGTATGAAAACAAAACAAACACTGTAAAATGTTTCATAAATACAACTATGTAAATAGCCATGAGAATAGTAACGACTAGTAAACCACCCCGGCTCTGCCCAAGTAGCAAATAATGTACGTATGATATATTTTCAGTCTGTTAGTTTTTGAGTTTATTCGTTGCATACAATTTTCTTTTTCATCTTTTGTTGCTTACAATGATTGGATATTCTTGTTTATGTATAATTTCAATAAAACTGAATACAGTTTTATACTAACTACAACATTGAGATATAGCGGAGTCGCGCTGTGGTGTAGTGTGCGTGCACCTTTACCCAGTAGATGTAACAACCACTGCACTGCACTGCTGCGCGTACGCACCCGCACCGCACTCGCGCTTTAATAATAAAATATTACAACTTCAAGTACACTTTGTCTAACAAAGTGTTTGTATTATTACAAAGGACATTCAACAAATGCTAATTTAAAACATGTTCGTTCTCCTTTAAAACTTGTAGACGTGATTCGCAATAAAGATGGTGCGATGTGGTGTTACTCTAACACACCAACTACATACACGAAGTTAGCTCTTTACATTAAATATGTATGATATAAATGTGAATATTACCAACATCCGGTTATTAAAAGTATGAAAATACCAGTATAATGATAACTTGAGAATATGTTTCATCTAAAAGTATTATATAAATAAATAAATACGCAACTTTAATATTTTTTAATACAAAAAAAGAAATGAAGTTCGTAGTTGACGTACTGATTTTATAGAAGATGCATACCTCGTCGCTGAAAATCAAATAGGAATAAAATGCCGCGGCCTGTAGCCTATCTAACATCAGAATTATAGACATCAGTTTACAGATGGATGTATGTTTGTTTGAAGGTATCTCCGGAACGGCTGCATGGATCTCATTGAAATTTGACATACATGTAGAACATAGTCTGGAAAAACACATAGGTTACTCATTAGGTTTGTTTTTAATTGGCGGGTGCGGTGTCGCAGGAGACAGCTAGTTATCAAATATCAAAGAATGTTAATTGATAGTTGAATGGAATGAGTGGCGTGGCAATAGATTTACAAGGTTCGCACTGCAACCTGGTGCGCGGCTCGCAGGTCGCAGCCTGCCCCCTCGCTGTTGCAATAAAAATATAATTTAAATAAAGATTACCTTCATCAATATAACTATAATGAATACACGCGACGAGCAAATATAATTTATTTTGCTCCTGCGATTTGTTTTTTTTTATCTAATTTGCAGATTCAATTACATGTATAGATTATTATGATCCGCAAGTAATTGTTTTAGCGGAGCTGTACCTGTTGCTACTAGCTATGAGTTGTTGTTCATTTGTGGTTACAAGTAATATCTATTATATTTATATATTTATTTTATAATTATGACATTGATCAATGTAAATTGCACAAAACTGGCGGCTACCAACTATTATAATTATAGTGTAAAGGCATTTATATAATTGTGAAGGTGAGGTGAGGTGGGATGAGGTGAGGTGAGGGGCGGAGGG